TCTCCCAGCAGAACTTTCTTACTGTCTTTGAAATGCTTGTTCTCTGGAAAGTCAGGCTCAGGCTGCTGCTTTCTGAATACTCCAGCAAACATTGGCTTGAAATCCAAGGTGCAGACATAATTTTTCACTGTAAGTGGAAGCAATAAAAAAAAATTAATATTAACCATTATTCTTCCATTTACCTCATGCGTGTTCCCCTTCAGCAAGTGATTCTTGCTGATATTCCAGTATGAATATGTATTATTAGAGTACATTTTAAGAAGTGAATACGTAACAGCTAGCATAGTAGTTATTTTCCACAGTGAAGATATATTTACATGTGTTTACACATTATATATAAATACAGAATAACTTATCTATATTTAGGCAAGTGTGTAAATACCCACTTACTGCTGAGTTGTAGGTAAACACCTCAGTGAACATTAAACCTTCACCAAAAAAGAAAAGTGGTGGGCTTAGGTGGAAATCACAGAAAATGCAGTTTGTTGGTCCCTGGAGTTAAGGAGCAGAATGGCAAATACATAAGTGTTACTTTACACATCTAATCAGGGCAGCAGTTTGGAGGAAAATGACTCCATGAGTTATTTCAGGGATGCACACACACAGGAACTGGATTACGGAGCAAGAGATGGGGCTGACATTCCTCTAGTGAAAATCAATTAATGTGCTACAAATAAATTTCTGGACATCTTCAAGAGGTGTTAAAAAAAACTGAAGGATTTTTCTATAAACAGAAACAATATTAAAAGGAGGAAGGATCACCCAGTAAAGCAAAATGCAAATAACTGAAAGCACATAGCTTGCTTTAAGGAGAAAGCAAAGGACATACAGCCAGCAAAACATAGAAAATCCTTAGGTGTAGTAGATGAAACATTTCAACTGGATATAAATACTAACTTCTGGAAAGAGTTAAGGAACAAGAAGGTGTTTCTTATGGGCCTCTGACAATTACTTATTGAATTAGGTGTTGTAGTACATGAAAAGAGAAGTTGAGTGTTGGTATTGGCTTTTAAAAGCACCTCCTTAAAGAGATAAAGCAATCCTGTAATGACGGTGGGTCAGATAGATGATGTAAAATGTCTCTTTTCTTATCATTACCATGATTCTGTTCCATTCCTGACCTTCCAAAATAATGCATTACAATTGCTTGTCACTCAATCTACTTAGCACCTATTCTTAGTCTTTCTTCACCAGTCATACTGCTTTCTATTCTTCTGCATGATTTCATTTTTTCCTTGCAGTATTCATTTTTTGATGGTTGGTCTGGATGATCTTGTAGGTCTTTTCCAATGTTGGTGATTCTATGATTCTATGTTCCTCGGTCTGCTAATAAAACTACTGAAATGTGATTTGCCTCAAATTAAATTGATAAAATTCTTTACATACGCTTAGGGGTGAAATTAAAGATAGACTTTTAGTACAAGTTTAGTCTGTAGTCCAGACTCTTCTTTCCTTGATGTTCAAGGTTTCTTGAATTTGGATAGTTTTGGTTCAGGTACAACATAGGAAGTAAATCTGTTTTGTCAGTACAAACTCATTCTTCTGATCAGTTCTGGAAAAGAAAGAATGCACTAAATTGCCTTAGATTTGCTTTGGGATCCATTTCAGCAGAGACCTGCTGAAATACAGTCAAGCTGTGGTGTGTTTTTGGTTTCCTCAGGAGCACAGAAGTGCCCAGCTCCCTTTTCTGTCATCTTGCTGAGAACAGGTGGCCTCCTTCGGGGTCACCAAGTATATTTAGGGCTGAAATTGGAGCGGGCTGGAGCCGCATTGGCTGTGCCATCCACATGCGTCATCAGAGGTTGATGCACCAGGCTTGCTCTCGCCCAGCACTGCTCTAGAGGGAAGACTGGAGAGGCTTTGCTCCTAAGGATATTTACCAGATGTTGCTGGTAAGAACATTTAATCACATTTCACTTCTAGTTCTTGTCCTAGCTGTTTCTTGATTCTGTAGTTTTTTCAGAGTAGCAGTTGTGCATTGCCCACGGGACTCAGATTTTCAGTCCGGCTGAATACCTGAATGATTGGAAATTGCAGCAAGAGGAAAGGACCTGAAATTGTGTTTCGGAAATTCAGCTGGCGGTTGAAATAGTGACAGTTGTATAGAGAGGTTCCCTAAGTGCAAGCCCCTACTGCTGTGATATAGTTGTTCATTAACTTTGACCTACTTTACCATAGGACAGGACAACGGATCGAGTTATCCTTCATTTGCTCTAATGGTCAATACTCTGCTTTAACATTTTCTTTTTTCATTTCTTTTTTGTAATTTTTCTCAACAAGCCAGGACTAAAAAGAGACAGTATTCCATGTTCCTATATTTAACTTGCATTACTAGACTTCACTTGCCTCAGAAGGAATTGCTGTTTAGCCAGCTAAACAAAACCACCTCGTCATTTGGCAGTATTAGCTTACATGGCAAGTATCTTTGGACTCAGAACAGCTGTTCCAAAGCCTCATCCCCTCCCAACATTAGAAACAGGGCTGTATTCTCTGGTGGAAAATTGTAACTGCACCCCAAAGCAAAATCATTGTGTTAATTAATCAGTTAAGAGGTTTTTGACAGTCATCTGTATTTTGTAATTCAGCCAGTGTATGGATTTTTCATCTTTTCCAGGAATGAAGAAATAGAGAGAAAAAAGCTACGAGTTAAAAGAACCCAAAGCACCTGCATAGGCTAATGCTGGGAAAAGCAAAATTGCCTCATTAACTTAAGGTCGCTTAAAAATATATATACAACCTTTTCATGCATTGCATTTTTACTTGTGCATGCATGTAGTAAAATATGCAGATAAAGCTCCCATTCAAAGAGGAGTTTTAATAATGCAACAACATTGCATTATTATTATGAAATAGTGATAGAGAAAAATCTTCGTATTCCTTTGTCATAATGAAAGAAGTCAAATAATACTTCAAGAAATCTCTTCCCTCTGATTTCAATTTTTATTTTTCACTTTTAATTTTCATTGGAACTTTTCCAATGGATCTCTACCATAATTTGAAACAAAGTAATGGTAGATCCCAACTTCAATTTTTTTGTGTTGTTCAAGTTCTTCCCTTGATTAGCCAATAATGGTGTAATAATCTCAGTAGTTACTAACTGTGACCCATGCACTTCAAGAACTTGACTTTAGCTGTTAGTATGGGCTAATACTGTATATTCACACTTTCATTTCCTGCATCACCAGTGAGCTGGGGAGAGACAGAAGAATACATTCAAAATGGAGGAAGAAGAATATGAGGAAGTTGTGGAGGTAAGAAGAAAATCTGAGAGTAGAATTTATTGTCTTCTGTCTCATGAATAGGAATATTAATTACTTCTCCAAGATGCTGCTCATGAACATAAATGGTTACTCGTCGTTTGCTATTTGATGACTAGGGTATGATTAGACATCTATTAAATGGTTTGATAAGTAAAAGATAATAACAAATACTTGCTATCGGCAGAGCAGAATCTCTCTGGTTCCTATCGTGGTTTGTGCGTTTAAATAAGGATTGTAACCATTTCACACCCCCATCACAAGGTTCTGTGGTTACTCTCCTGCATAATTATAGATGCAGGGGCCATCTCTTTCCCCCTTGGCTTGCCCTCTGTCATCTAATCCATGGATGACTTTGGAAGCCCCTCTCTGGCCTGGCTTCTGTCTTTTCCCAATGCAATTTTTTCCTACCAACATATCAGATGCCAAGATGGAGCTACACCTAAACCTGCAGATGTCTGTGGAGCCATGTCAGGCATTAATTAGTTGATTGGGCATTTAAGCTAACAGTTTTATAACGAATTACTTAGCCTCAGTGACTGAACTAAAAGAATTCCCAAGAACTAGGGTAATTATAGCTTTCTGTGCCACTGGAATAACGAGTTTGCTAATAAAAGTGTATATAAGATTAACAAAGACTTGCTACGTTATTATTATTATGAAATTTTGTATTATGAAGTGATTAAGTGGCTGTAACGAACTACTCAGCACTTACTTGAGGAAAAAAATAAGATACTGCAAACAGCCATCACACAACTCTCACCTCCGCACCAAACCCACTGGATTGCTGATTTCAGGCAGCATTCATTACAGCACTGGGTCCTGGCTGCCAGCTTCTAAAACTTCAAACAATTAATTAATGAAGTCAAACAGTTTGCCAGCTAAACGTGTGTTGAGAAACGAGCATTACTGCTCATAACATCCATTTTAACACACACTGCACAGCCCAGTCAAAAGGACAGCAGTCCTTCGTTGTTTCCCACCACGAAGTTCCTTGGGACTGACTTCATGCTTCCTAACTATTACGTGATCTCTGTGACAAAATACTTCTTTATTTCTGCCAATGCTTGTTTGTTGATGCTTGAATTACGGCAGGTTGGGCCTTATGTCTACACAGGCCTGCCTCGTTTTTCTTTTATTATTATTATTTTATTTCCAACGACTGCCTTCCTGAATGCAGGTCCCTTGGATCAACCCCACACTGCTGTGGTGCCTTCACAGTGAGAATTAGAGAAAACATTTGGTGCAATTTTAAGGCAGCTTAATACTTTGCTGTTTGTTTGCTTTAAACGAGAGCTCTTCTTTTATGTGAATGCCCTCTTTCAAAAATATGAGTGCTCTATCAGAAATTTATCTTCTGAAAGGATATCGTTGGTGAATAAGAGACGACATGAAGGATTTTAAAGACTTTTTTCCTTCTCTGGAGCTCTTAACGTGCACTGAGCATTGCAGCCATCTGTGAGGTACCAGCGATCGACGCCGACCTGTTACAGCTGAATAGCGGTCAGCGTGCAGAAATTACCTCAAAACAGCCAAACGAGAGGTGAACTTACAAACATGGACGACGTCTTTGCTGCCCACCGCGGCGCTCGAAGCGCAGCTTTACGTGTTTTTGCGGTAGCGAAGCAGAGCGGCACACCAACCCCGGGCCGCGCACCTCAGCGCCGCCGCCATTTGCCGCCAGGAGCGCTGTCCGGGTGTCGGCATGGCGCCACCGCGCGGCCGCCATGTTGGGGGTGGCCGCCATGTTCGGGGTGGCCTCGGAGGGGCCGGGGCAGGTGGCGGGGAGGCAGCGAGCTCCCGGTTGTGAGGAGACTCTGGCTTCCGCACAGCCCGGCAGCTGCTTCGTGTGTGTTTGGTTTCTGGATGCGACGGGGAAAGGCAGAGAGTAAAAGCGCTGTCTGCAGCGCTGTAACCATCGTCACCTGTCTTGTGGGAGATTTGCTCTGGGCAGGTGGCACTGCAGGGTGCTTGGGTAAGAGTCGGGCAGGCCTTGTGTTGTGAAGGCTGGCAGTGCCTTTGTGATGAGAGTCTGAACCATGCGTGGCAAAAATGGAGTGCTAGCTGGAAACCCTGCTTAAATGATGGCTTCAGGATGGAGAGGGGGAAAAGCTGCTGGCAAAAGGAGAAAGGCTGATGATTCACCTGTGGATCTGCTTCAGAGCTCTGCCTTAGTTAGGCAGCTGGAGAAAGCCATACAGGTGGACTTAATCACCCCCCAGTGCCTGCTGGAAGGGCTGTGTGGCTGTGCGTGGTGAGCTCGGAGATTTCTGGAATGTGCTGAAGACAAACTTCTCGATGCAGATGACTGATGAACTGTCTAGGGGAGATGGTCTGCTTGAACGTGCCACTTGAACAGGAAAGAACAGGCGGAAGATGGAAAGGTCAGTGGCAGCATGGGCTGCAGAAACCACAAGACTGTGGACCTGAAGATTTGAGAGAAGCAAGCAAGGCAAACAGAATTATAATCACTGATTCCAGAAGGGCAAATTAGAGCCTGTTCAGGGCCCTGCTTGGGAAGATCCCTTGAGAAAAGTCCAAGAGAGTTGGGTAATCCTCCAGAACAGTTTCCTCAGAGCAAAAGAACTGTTCATTTGAATGTGCAGAAATCAAATGAAGGCTGGTATGGATGAACATGCAGCTCCTGGCTGAGTTCAGACGCAAAAGAAGGTGGGAATAGGAGCTGAGTACTTGGGAGGAGCGTAGATGGAGATGTAAGATGTTACAGAGCATGTTCCTGTATGCATGGGCAAACCAACAAGGGATGTGCAGAGCAGCAGAAGTGTGTTATCATTGGCAGTGAGAGGGAAGGTAAGAGTGTGGGACTGTAGTTTCAGTGGTCAGAGAACCTCAGCATATTGCTTGAAGAGGTTTTTTTTTTGTTGTGGTTTGTTTGGTTGTTTTTTTGTTGTTTTTTTTTTCATCAGTTTTGGTAAGCTTTAGTCTTCCAGGTCTCTGATTCCCAGCAGAGATGTGAGAGTGATGTAGTATCTGCAGTAGACGAAGGCAGAATTAGGGGTGGCTTATCTTACTGGGATGTATATGGTTCTAGGGGACTGGAGGGGGTGGATCAGGGGTGCTGAGGGGTCTGGGTGATGTCAGTGAAGGGCTACTGTCTGTAATCTTGAAAAGTTCATTGTATTGTGGGGAAGTTCCTGATAATTGGAAAAAGCCTTGTTATACCCAACTTCAGGGAAAGCAAGAAAGAGGATTCAAGGATAAACAGATGGTGAACTCGAATCCTTAAGAAGGCTATGGAGAAAATCACCTATGAAGCCATTTTTAAACACACGAAGAGCAAAGTGATGGGGAGCAGTGGATATTTGTTTATTGAGGGTGGATCGTGGCTGACCAGGCTTGGTGCTTTTCATGGTAATTTTACTTTGGCTGTTGACGAGGAAGGAACAGCAAATGGTCTGTGCCTGGACTACAGAAGGAGCACTGAAACAGACTGATGTAGTCTCACTAAATTGATGAGATATGAGCTGGATTCGTGGAAAATTAAATAAGTAGAAAACTGGCTGACTGTGGAGCTCTGAATTCTGATCAGTAGAAGGAAGTCTGACTGGCAGTCAGTAATGGCTGGGGTCCGTTGTGGAACTGTGGAGATCCTCATCTGTAGGTAGGAGCAACCCTGAAGACAGCCTTGGAGAGAGAATTCTCTTACAGTCCTTTTGGCATACTGCCTAACATTTGGGAAGTCCTGTTCTATTGGATGCTTTCTTTCAGTGTGGTCATCGTTTGCCTTTCTTATGGATCGTTAGATAATGGTCCTTCATTAATTACTTAGGAGGAAGATCAATTAAGGAACATAAGGAAAAAATCCTATCAGTGTAAAAAAATAATAACATCTTCAGGACTTGATAATATCTTTACAAACTGCAGTCTTGTTTCTCCTGAGGTGTGTCTTTAAAACAGTCTTTGCTATTCTGTATGATCTGTCCTAACAATGATTTTTTTTCTCCTTTCTTTAATAGTACTACATTGAGGAGACAATTGTTGAGGAGGGTGAACCATATGAGGTAAAGGTTCCTGTGAAGTTGAATGTGATTGATATATGCATTAATTACATTATATATGTAATTAATGTGTAATACTAAACTAGTGGCCTTTTGCATTCTGAGGATCAATTTTCCATAGCAAGCACATAGGTATCAGTGAACAGTTGCTTTTTTCTTCTTTTTTCCTCTTCAAGACCTTGTTGTGAGCTGACCAAGAGGGTTTCTAGCTTTTTTTGAGCGACTGTCCCATCTGTTTTTTAGATTTGAATTTGGGATTCAACCTGGATGTGCACTGTTTGCCACTGTTTGTTTTTCATCAGAAGGAGCTGAGGATGTGTCTGATAGAAAAGGACTATGCTGATTTCTTTCCTGCTCTCTGTTTTGCTGATGATCTTCCCTTTGCTGCTGGCCAGCAGCTAAATTTGCACAGGAGCTGACAGAAATGAACAGCAGGTTTTGTTATTTAACTAGAAAGACAGGCAGAAAGATTACTTGGGTAACATATTGACAAAATCTAATCATTAGTGTTAAAGATGAACAGGATTATTGAGGATGTGAGTTTGGCTAGATACATATGTAAGATAACAGGGCCCTACTGCACTATGTGCAGCTTGTTAGGAAAAGAAGCATGTAAAGATTCTGCCTGAATCTAGTTTGTGTTATCAGTTCTTTTCCCGCTGCAAAGTGGTGAAGATTTTTTTCATGTCACTGGTAACAAATATATGAATTACCGTGGAGTTATTGCCATCATCTGTAGTTCTACTGATAGTATAGATAGAAGCAACTCTTTGCTACCATGAAATGTTTTTTCTGGCGTTATGCTGAAACATAATCTTAGCAGTTCCTTCCAAACGAAGGATCTGGTCCCGAAGTCTTACTATAGTTTTAATTTAATATAATGTGATTGATACCATCTGAGCAAATAATTGAAGACTGCACTTTTGAAGAAAGCCTGTCATGTTATTTTTAACCGCTGCATTCATCAGGGGTTTTAAAATCCAGAGCCAGACTGGATTTAAAGGGAGCAATAGCATGACTATTGCTGTGTCAGATCTGCCTCAGATTTTGAAAACAGCATTGTAGAGTAAGAATCACATATGAGTATGAATGTCTTTTTAGCTAATGCAATTGGATGCATTTCCATCAGCTGTGAGTGCAGTTTATGGCATTAGCATCATGCGGGCCTATGAGTTATCTTATGAAAGTAAAAGAGAGGAGTTTTGTTTGTTTGGTTTTTTTAACATGAAATACTATTTTCAGAAGGAAGCCTCTCCAAGCTTTAGAAATCTGTTACAACTTCTCAAGAAAGCTTCACTACTCTGTTCTAAACCTAACATCAAGTAACGCTTTTCTGAGTCTTGCCTAGGCAGGTTTCAAGCTGTGCTGTGCTTTCAGTGCCAGAACTTAAACAAACACTTGCTTACTTGAAGTGAGTTGTAAGAGATTAATCTGTTGTGGTGCAGAAGTAACTATTAACATCCTGACGCGTCATTAGTGAAATGTAATTAATGTTCACATAATAAACAACCTTTTTGTAATTGAAGTTTTGTGTATTTGCCAAGTTAATATTTAATGCTTGGTGTATTTTCTGGTCTACCTCATACTAATGTAAGTAACTATCGGAAATCTGACCTTCGTGCATTCCTTTTCAGAGCATTTGTTTCGTTTAAGCTAATTAATTATGAAATAAAGCTTGATACTTTGTTTTTCAGATAATTTCAGAGCATATTTTTCAGCTGTAATAATTATTTTAACATGCTTTGGATTAGAATCTTCATATTAAAATTATCTCTTACAGCATGAATGCGTTGATTAAAAAAGTCTATGAATGATTTAGATTAATTGTGGTCTTCTTTCCAGTGGATGCTTGATCAAATGTATGTATATCTCAACCATATCTTTGCCATGATTATGATCTGACTATGAGAAAATGTACGTTAGTAGAAGAGGTGGATTCCAGGCATTTGTTCAGTCAGTTGGTGCATCATAGATTTGCCACAGGATCCTGAAGACTTGGGATCTGCAGTGTCCATTCCTTTCACAAGAAGAAGATAATCATTTTGAATGACTGTGTGCACCTCTGACCTGCTTTCTCAGTGTCGTCATTAGGAAACCTGGAAGTGTGATGTCTGCTTCTTCAACACTGAGAGCACTTTTCATGCTTTGGTTTTGGTTGTGGGTGGTCACATCTGAGAAACCACCTCATGCCAGTGGAAGTTATGCGTATGAAACACAGCCCCACTCTTCCTGCTCCTTTGGAGAACAGTTGTATCAGTTTGATGCAGAAATCAGCCAGTTGTTTAATTCCTTGTACTTTTTCAGTTTGAGTCATGTAAAGCAGGCATTTATTGGTCATCCCAGGAGGAAGTAAGTGTCACCGTTTTTTTACACCGCAGGTGGTTTGGGGATAAGAACTGAGCATCCTTCTATATCAGAGGAAGTGAAAAAAGCTTAAAATAAAACTGTGATTTGGAACTAAAACACATTTATTTTTTTCTCTACTCCCAGGTGGTCACTGAGATCACTGACAGCACTAGCACAGAATTCACAGGTCCTACAACCATCACTCGTACGATTGAGTATGAAAAAACTTCTGGTGAGGATGCACCAACTCCAGTCAGAAAGAAGACAATACGGACAAAAGTGGACTCTTCTAAGTTCTTGACACCTTACCTGCAGCACAGTAATAAAATGAAGGACCTGTTCAGTGAGGTGAATTGTCCCATGTCCTTTACTTGTTTAGAAACACCAATTTTGAAAGCATCTGATGGGTATTGTTGCAATCCTTTATGCTATTTTGACTCCTCCTGTACTCCGTTTCGTCATGTGTGTCAGTGCTGTTTGCTTGAAGTAGGAAGTTTCCTTCTTTCAATTAGATCATCTCTTGCCTATTTTCTGCTTACATGCATCAAGTAATCTTTAGACACAAAAAGCCTGTGGCAGATATCTCAAGATTTATCTCAGATGTCAGTTAAGAGGTCTCCTGTGCTGTCTGACTTGGATACTTAAGTAAGGAAATGCAAGAGCTAGTGTTTATTGAATAGTGATCCTCAGTATTTTGTACAGTAGTATATTTCTCTATCCCTCTCTATATCCAAGAATTATTTTGTGCACAGTATGTGGGAACAAACACCTACCCAAATTCCTGGTGTAGTATATCAAATTCCAGTATTATATATATATTCCATTTTACTGTGTTTTTAGAGGTGGAAAATAACTGTGCTGTGCAGGTGTGTGATGGTGTCAGACCTTTTTTCCTTGATTTTAATGTGTGATACCTACCAGTTTTGTTGTTGAAATGATATATGAGATCATATGCCTAAGATTGCTACTCTCGCCCCAAAATTTTCCCCATCTTTGGTCACTGAAACAAGTAACTGAATGTATCAGGGTGAGATGTGTAATGCAAATAAACTCTGAGGTGATCTAAAGCAGGCTGAAGGTAGAAATGGATTTTCTCTGCTGTGTCAGATGGAAGAAAATCACTTGGTTAAAATAAGCAGAACTGTGCAAATGTATTTGTGTAATGACAGCTTGTATTATTCAGTGCTGTGCCCCGAACTCCTATACTAAACAGATGAATACATCAAAAATTACTGTTTACATTTCTGCCAGAGCTTTAGGATGTGTCTTAATCATACTTGTCATTATTTTCTTTCAGAACAAGTACAAAGAAAAATTTAATAAAGAAAGAGGAAAGCCATATGCTTCCACAATTGATACCCCAGAAATTCGAAGAATCAAGAAAGTGCAGGATCAGCTCAGTGAGGTAGATATCAAATGTTGTTTTTTCTGTAGTTCCAGTCTTCCCTTAATAGTGCATGTCACAATTTGGGAAACTAAAATCCAAAGCATCTTCATTCTTTGTAGAGTAAGTAGGGAGAATTGGATCTCTGGGAATAGGAATTCCCAAAGCTGAGTGGGGAGACACCTAACCACTGTGCAGGAGATGAGTATCCATTACATTTTGCTCAACACCTGGCTTAGGATATATTGAGGAACGTGATGCAGCAATCCCTGTGCTAAAGCTGACTGAGCCTGCTGTCAAGCTGGGAATGTTGTAACTGCATTAGAATGATTTTGTGCTCCATCTACTGGTTTGCCATGGTGGTGTGGCTGCTGTGTTGCTTTTGGGACCACAGATAGCGTATGGTCTGTGGTAATGGACTGTGAAATTAACAGATACTGAATAGCATGGGGATTTCCACCTCATTATACAGGTGGAAGCACTCTTAGGAAGAACTCAGATTATAGGATTACACCCTAGTTTGGATTCACAGCTCTTGATGTTGTCTCAAAGCTGCATTTCTTTTTCATATAACTCACAAAATCTGTTTGTTTCTCTTGGTATTATTTCCAAGCAACAGCTAGTCCATGGTAAAGGTTAATCATATGCCTAAATGCTTTACTCAATACAGAATCTTTGCATCTCTGGATCTTTGCATTCTCAAGTTTCAAAATGTCAATGTTCTGCTTTAAGAGGACACTTGTCAGTGTTAGCTGTAAATACAGCTGTGGTTTGGTGTGCATTGCTCTAGGTTAAATACCGCATGGCTGGTGAAGCTGCTCGAACTATTTGCCACGTTGATGAAAAGGCCTGGGATATAGAACATGCAAAGAAGGTATCTCAGCAAGTGAGCAAGGTGAGTGAGTTTTGGCTTACCAGAAGGCTTGTGAACGTTAACAGATCATGAAGTTACTGATAAAAGCAAGGTTTTCAGCTCAGGACACTGAAGCAGTGTCTATAGAGCAGTTTAGAAGCTCAGGGGGGAAGACCAAATAAATTGATCAAGGCAAGTATAAATATCTTAAATGTTTCCAATTCATATTTTTAAATGTCATGAGTATGATACATTCACTTTGCAAAAAAAGCTTTCCATCAAGCTGTTTATTAACTAATGTAAATATTTTTCTAATAAGAGAGTAACTAGCCTGCTGATCTTTTTGTTCAGGTGTTATATAAACAGAACTGGGAGGAGAATAAAGACAAGTACTTACTTCCCCCTGATGCCCCAGAGCTTGTAAATGCAATAAAAAATACAGCAATGTTCAGTAAGGTAAGAAGAATCACTGGTTTAGTCAGCTGAAGTTTAAAAAGCATTCCAAGACAAAAATGAATTCATTCTCTATTCTGGCATTTTTCTGTTTTAAGAAACTTTATACAGAAGACTGGGAAGGAGACAAAACATTGTTCTACCCGTACAATGACAGTCCAGAACTCAGAAGGGTGGCACAGGCTCAAAAAGCTCTGAGTGATGTAAGTATCAAAGCCTGGTTGAAAATTGGATCCTGCTACAGTGTAACTTCTCGCTAGCAGGACAAGGGGAAATGGTTTGAAGTTGAGGGAGGGAAGATTGGTTGGATGTCAGGGGGAAGTGCTTTGCTATGAGAGTGGTGAGGTGCTGGAACAGCTGCCCAGAGAGGCTGTGGATGCCCCGTCCATCCCTGGAGGTGTTCAAGGCCAGGTTGGATGGGGCCCTGGGCAGCCTGGGCTGCTGTGAAATGTGGAGGTTGGTAGCCCTGCATGTGACAGGAGGTTGGAGCTTCATGGTCCTTGAGGTCCTTTCCAACCCAACCATTCTGTGATTCTGTGAACTTGAGAGGTGGAACTTTATAGCAGAACAGAAGATAAATATGCATAGATATGCACTGATATCTCTGAGAGTGGTGCTCTTTCTGTAGAAAAGTGAACGCTCTTTTTTAGGGTGTGTACCTATTGGCTTTTTAATATTGGATTATAAGTGAAAGAAATAATTTAAGACCTCAGATAACTAATAAGACCTCAAATGCCTGTTAAAATGTGTTGAGAAGCTCTCGGGGTTGGCTGTAAGCCCAGTAGCCCTGTTTGCTGGGCTTGTGAAGTATCTGCAAACCTGTATGATAAGAAAACTCAGTAGTTCATGAGCTATGCTCAGCATTGCTATTTGCTGATACTTATGGGGAAAAAAAAACAGACACAGAACTCTTCAACTAAATATTTCAGGTCTTATATAAAGGTTTCAGATGTCCAGTTTATCACAAACAGTGGAGTAGCAGGCTTGAAAACTTTCCTAGTGAACTTTTCCATAGTCCCCCAGAAGACCTAGTCCCCTTTGATTGAAAGAGATTATTATTATTCTGTGAACAGAACTACTTTTGTTACTGGTGGCATTAGCAGAGGTAAGATTAAATATTATGTTACTATTGAGGTGGGCAGTTTCTGTAAACGTTTACTTCTTTCCTATTTCCAGATTGTCTACAAAAAAGGGCACGATGAACGAAAATCTAAATATACTTCTCTGCCAGATCCCCCTGATGTGGAACAAGCCAAGAAAGTGACAAGGCAGCTGAGTGATGTGAGTAGAATGCAGTTCTCTTCCTTCAATTGAAATTTCCATTTTGGAATTAGAGAGGCAAAAAGGTACCAGAGAGCAAAAGAAAAGTCCAGACCTCAAGATGTCTTTGATTTTTTTTAAGTAGCGAAAGTCAGCTTTTAAGTTTTCTTTCTTAAAACATCTCAGAAGCTCCTATCCAGACTCAAATGAAAGACAAAATGTCATTCTTATCAGCAAATCTAGGTTTCATAAAACATTTCTGCTTCTATCATACATGCATTAGTTTCTATTCTTCCTTTTGTAAAAAAAAAAAATCTCCTGCATTGCATTTTAAACTTTTACAGGTCAAAGCAACAAAAAACATCCATTTTACTCCTCTCTTCAAAATAAACAGTGAAACACAAGTATGCATCTGGTTTTAAAATGAATTACTTGCTTACAAGGAATAATCCCAGTTTGCTGTTAAGTTGAATATCTGATCTTTGAAGATGCCTAGGTTGATGGCAGAGAAAACCTTTTAAAAGTTACTTTCAGTGTCAGATCATTGTCCACATATCCCATGCTAGTTCATGGGTACTTGCAGAAATTAGATAACTCTTTCCCAATTTGCACACTGAATTAGCAAGTAATGTTCAACAGTAAATTCCACAGTTGTATGGCATGACTAGCAAAGACTGACACCAGTCCACAGCAGTACATTTTACACAGAATAAAACAGCTGAGGAATGCAGGAGGTGAAGTAAAATAGAGGAAGATCAACTTTTGCTGGAGAACTTGGAGCTAAGTCATATGAACTCTTAAGCCAGAAGGTTTTTAGTTCAGTTTGAAGTTTAGTTGTAGTAAGGAAGACATGCCTGATTTTGTTGCTATATAGTGGAAATTATCTGCTGTTTCAGATGAGGGAGTTAAGAGTAGCTAATGAACTCATCTGAAAGGTGACAGAAGGTAATATGTTGTTTAGAGGAAATTTCTTGTACCTTAAGTAGCTCAGAAGCTAAATTATCATCAAGAATTTTTTTTTTGCATGGGAGAAGCAAGAAGATCAGTGTGATTGTTCTTGAAAATTAATAAAGCATAGTAACCTCTACACATATTTTCAAACAATAACATTCAGAAAAATCCTTTTTAACATGTACATTCTTAATCAGTGTGATAACAACTTGTACTTTCTGTGATGAGGAAAACAACCGTGGTTGAAAGTGCATTTGGAACACTCAGTGAAAACTCAGGAAGGTTTTTATGTAATTAAACAGACAGTAACTGTTTAAGTAATTGTTCAAACACTTTAAACTTCTGTTTGAACAATTTATACTTGATTTCCATTACTCTGAACCTAGTCTGATAGAAATCACGTTTACCAGACAAGCCATGTATAGAAAGGACTTTCCATTTCTGTCCTGTAACAGGTTTCAGAAGCAGTAACAGTGAATTCTAGTTTAATTTTTGGGCAATATTATATCCCAGTGTTGTGTGAATAGTGAGACAACTGAAGGAATTTGGTAGTGATATCCCAATGTATCTTATTAGTCTTATTATTTATCATTTGGAATAGATGACTTATTTAATATATACATCCTTATTGGTCAGGGTATATTTACCAAAATAAATGAAAACTGAATGCTAAGGTCAGACTTCATGTGATTTTGACAGTGACTGACTGGTAAAGTGGTTATAGTGCTGATATAAAATAGGAGGCATCTTTAAAAAGAAGACTTTTAAGTGAAAATTGAGCTGGAGATTAAGTATTATTCTTTAAAATTTCATTGCAGATTATTTATCATGAAGACTATAAAAACAAGATCAAAGGCAAGTGGAGTCAAACTCCATGCTATGATGTTGCAATTGCAAAAATGAACGCAGAAAATATAAGCATGGTAAGTAAATTCTTCAGAAAATCTTGAAATGAACAGCTTTGTTTTGTGCATGTACCAACGTGGCAAACACTGATTAAATTTTCCTACTTGGCTTGTTGTGTTTTTCTTTTTCTATTTAAGCTTCTTAATGGATGGCTAATTTATAATGCAGCTGCATTTGATACATTTGGTACATCTGATATCTGCTTTTCTCTGTTCTTAACAGAAAAAATACCAGGAAGACTTTGAAAATGTGAAAGACCAAATCTATTTTATGCAGACTGAAACTCCAGAATATGAAGCTAATAAGCGAGTTTCGGAGAATGTCAGTAAGGTATGTTGTTAGACCTGCTCCCATCTGTATAGCTTGAGTGTAGTTCTGAAGTCAGTACAGTTTGTGCTGAGGCTGTTTTGTCAGGTGTCAGAAATATTTTCTTCTGTGCAAAATATGTGTTCTTGTGTCCCTGCCACCCCAAAGCTTTCAGAGATTCCCACCCATGCTTATGATCTTCTGCAGTAGTACCTGTGAAGTAGAATATTCTCTTTCATGGAGATGGGAGTTTGCTTTGGTTTACTCTTACTGTATGTTATATGGTTTTAGTTGGAATAGATCAATACTGTTAACCAAGGCCAGCATAACCTAGCTGAATCTGGTTTCATGTTTTCAATTATTCATCCTTTCTCAGTGTATCTCAGTGATGTTATACTGGTACTTTGTGCTGAATTTGTTTGGCTTCTGCAGTTTCTGTAACAGCATTTGCATCAGCAAAGACAAAGATAATCTTCTGTCATTAACTTCTAAGAATGTAGTTATTCTAATATGTCAACTGGTAGTTAAAAAGTCAGAATGCTTGGCAAGGTGCTTTGAGGTCAGGACATCTAGTTAATAGCTGTTAATTATCTTTCAACCCAACCTCTCAGCTGGTGATCCCTGCACTGCTGTGATCTGAGTGCTTCTCGTGGTCCTTTGCCTTTATGAGTCATGAGTTAAAAGCAGATGGAGACCTTTCAGAAAATTTCAAGACAGTATAAGTTAGTGAGTGTTTGCCTTTTAATATTGATTTTAAAATCCTCACTGTTTTTGTTTTTACTTTTGAAAGATAAAATACAGAGCAGACTACGAGAAGAACAAAGCCATTGCAGATTATAATGTGCTTCCTGCAACAGAGAACCCATTGCTGAGGCAATTAAAAACTGCAGGAGATGTGCTGAGTGACGTGAGTATTATCCAAGTATAGCAGCATAAATTTCAGTCATGTACAGTAAACCAAAACCCAAACTCATCATTTCTTGACTTCTCCACTGAATTTCTCAGTATTTTTAGTTTTATAAAGGTAGTATTTTTCAAGAGATCCGACTGGCCAGAATGGTATCACTATAAGGAGTCATTTCCCCACAGCTGAGAGTGATGTGCTATGGAGATAGCTGATGATTGTGTAGTTCTTTTATAATCCTTTGAAAAATGGGTCACGAGGTAGAGGTTCTTCCTTAGTGCTTAGAACTTCAACTGCTGCCTGCAGTGATAAAATATGCACTTCTAGGTATTCATATATATGCCGTATTTTTGATATCACTTCAAGAATGTATTTGACATTCTTGATTTCTCTCTTGATGTTTTCATCTGTTTGGAAAGACACTTCATATTGCTCAACATCAGATGTTCAGAAATGATGAGTCAAACCTTCATGTCTTTCCTAACAATCCCAGAAGCCACTAAAAAGAATTAAAAAATAATATTCACTGTTGTAATTTATATTGTATTGTAAGTGCATTTCAGTTCAACCTGCTTTCTTACCCAATGTTATTTTCTCTTGCAGAAATTATACAAAGAAGCCTATGAGCAGTCCAAAGGAACAAGCATGAACTACTGTGAGACACCAAAGTTCCAGACTGATAGCGTTCTGAAGAATTTTAGTGATGTATGTCTTGCTGAGTTCATATCTTTCCGTGCTGACACTCTTGATTGCTTTTCTTTATCAACTTGTGATTGTTTTTCCAGGTAAAATACAAAGATGCTTATCAAAAGAATATTTTGGGACACTATTTGGGCAGTTTTGAGGACCCACATCAGATACACTGTATGAAAGTCGAAGCTATGAAGAGTGATGTAAGTGTGGCACTCATCCTGTTCTTGCCATCGTGTTTTAATTTGGAGAAAGCTCAATTGTGTTTTCTTATGGAATGTTTATTTTATCCCTAGAAAAATTACAAAGCGGATTATGAAGAAGAAAAGACAAAATGCTACTTCCCTCAGACCATAACTCAAGAATATGAAGCTATTAAGAAGTTAGAGCAGTGTAAAGATGTAAGTATAGGGCAGTGGTTATCAGATAGCCAGTTAAATGCAGAGCATTTGCTCTGAGATGTCTGGAAGTTTACAGTGATTCCTGTTAATTTTAATTTTTGAGTGTGGTGTTATTAGCATAAGTGACTTTTATAAGTCATATTCATTTTATAAGCCTGTATTTTAGAAGTCTTTTGTGACACCTACTGATCAAGACAGTTATAACACCATCTAACAAATAAAACCACTTAATTAGAGTAGTAACAAAACAAAAAATGACCCTCAAGCATCTACTTGCTTAAGTCAGCATATTTTTACATTAATGCTTTTTAAAATACTTCAACATACTTTAGTGATTTTATTAATACAAATTGTAATTATTAATACCTGAAAGTATTTTAAAATATGTATTTGTGTGTAGTACTTTATATGGCATATCATTTATTGTCTATGGTAATATATAGGTTTAAATATTTTGTGTTTATACTTCTAAAATACTTTAAAAGTTTATTTGGGCTCTGATTGTGTTAAAGTAACATAAGAATCATTGTGCAGGACAGTACTTGTCTACACCATTGCAAAACTGCCAGCTATCCCAACTAATGCTACATCACTGTGTCTAATTTAATAGAAAGATGTGTTTATGTACATTTACGATGAATGTATTTATTATTTACCCTCAGCACACCTACAAAAAGCATCCTGATCAGATCAAATTTACCCCAGTGACTGACTCTCCAGTACAGAAGCAAGCAGAGATCAATAGCAAGCAGCTGAGTGATGTAAGTGAACATACCAAACATGTCACTGTACTCTGGGACCATACGTTTCTGCACTGCAGCCACTTTCCAATTTTAAGACGATTCCTGAAATGAAAATATAGGTGAATATGGGTGTGCATATATGCACAGACATGGACACTTACGTGTCCTGTTCCAGTGGAAGCCCACCTGGAAATCAGGCTGCTTAGTTTTTTTTTTTTTTAAGGAAGTGTACATGTCATAGAATCATAGAATCACCAAGGTTGGAAGAGATCTCTAAGACCATCCAGTCTGACCCTCCACCTATCACCAACATTCCCCACTAAACCATGCCCTCAGTACAACATCTAATGTTTCTTGAATACCTCATGGGTCAGTGACTCCTCCACCTTCCTGGGCAGCCTATTGCAGTGCCTGACCACCCCCCCTTGGAGAAGTATTTTCTAACATCCAGTCTGAATCTGCCCTGGCTCAACTATTTCTATTGCTAGTTAAATGGGAGCAGAGGCCGATCCCCACCTCACCACAACCTCCCTTCAGGAATTGTAGAGGGCAATAAGGTCATTCCTGAGCCTCTTCTCCAGACTAAATAATCCCAGTTCCCTTAATTGCTCCTCATAAGGCCTGTGCTGCAGAGCCCTGAGTAAAGACCTTTCTGAGCAAAGACTACACAGAGCATTTAGGGCTTGTTTCTTCCATCAATAAGATCAATAATTCTGTTTGAAAAGTGCAGTCTCCATCCTTATGAGATAAGTGGCAGCATACATTTGCAAAAATCAAACCTAAATCCTCAATTGACTCACAGTGAACTGGTGCTGCTTGTACAAGGAAAGAATTTATTTATGTATGATATATTTTACAGAAACTCTACAGATCTTCCGGAGAAGAAGTTAAACATAAATACACTCTCCCCCCAGATGTCCCACAGTTTATCCAAGCTAGATACAATGCTGCAAATGTCAGTGATGTAAGTGATGACTTTATAATGTTTTACACATTGCTCTTGAATTTTTGAGAATGTTGCAGATATGCTCATATTGCAGATTTCTTTCACTGATGCACAATTCTTTATAATCAACTTATATCACTGTAATTTTTCACTCTTGGTATCATTTGAATGTCCAAGCAAATCCCATTAAATGTAGTCATGTAATTAATTTAGTCTAATTAATAAAGAAGTAATAAAACACTAAAGGAAGCATCTCATACTAAAGATTTGTCTGGAGTAGCTTTTTTGTAGCTTTTATTTTCTTATAATTCACATGATTATTAATTTCTCTAGAATAATACTGGTTTTCTTTTTTAGGCCTATTATAAACAGGACTACCACGATTTAATAGCTAAAGGGACCAACGTGTCACTTGATGCTATTCCAATTACTCGAGCAAAAGCATCAAGAAACATTGCTAGTGATGTAAGTATCAATTCCTGGTATACTTGTTTTAGGCATTTAGTAAAAATGTCAACCACTCCAGGCCATGTGGTAGACTGTAAGTATTCCATAAGTCTCACTAGAGTCACTAATGTGAGAAAGACATTCTCAGTCTTTCCCAAATTGTTGGTTTGTGTAAAACTTCTTTTATTCTAATCATGTTTGCTTTAAATAAGCAAATGCTACTGTACTGTGTTTCCTAAACCACTGTTCACGGGAGAGATGAAATCAGTAGTTCTTGCAGTCATTTGCTGACAGATTTCCAGTAAATGAGCTACGTTAGCATCTGCTTAGACCGTGAGACAATATATACTGAGGTAGTTCTGAGTTAGGTGGATGAGTGCAGCTTATAAATGAATTGGAAGGCCATATAGCACAAATTGATGAAGTGGATTATGATTCGATGGTTTCAGATAGTAGAGGAAGCTTCTCAGTTGTACTCTTTTTACTATTCAAGTGAGAGAGATGGATCGTCTCAATTGTTTTAATGTTTTTCATACACCTCTCAGCACAGTAGTTTTAAGGAAATGATATCATTTCCTTTCAAGGAAAGCTGTGGCTGATGAATCATTGTTATGTGTATAACCTGTTGTGCATAGCCTTAGATGGTGGAAAAAGAAAAGCTGATATTGTTGGGTATGCTGTTTAGACTAATGTTCCTGAACAGGTTGCATTATTCCTTCCCAATGAAAGTCATAACAGATTTTCTTCTCTTTTTTTTTTTTTTTTTTTTTTTGGGTTTAGACATCAGTAGCTATGTGACAATATATTTGATCTCTTTTCTCTGTTTCTAGTATAAATATAAAGAAGCATATGAAAAGGCTAAAGGAAAACAGGTTGGTTTCAAAAGCCTGCAAGATGACCCCAAGCTTGTTCACTACATGCATGTTGCAAAGATTCAGTCCGATCGTGAATATAAGAAGGACTACGAGAAGAGTAAGACTAACTATCACACACCTCCTGACACATTCAGTATCCAGGCTGCAAAGAAGTCTCAGGATGTAGCTTCTACTGCCCACTACAAAAATCTGATCCATCACTACACCTATCTGCCAGATGCTATGGATGTTGAGCTTGCAAAGAACATGATGCAAATTCAGAGTGATGTAAGTATTTCAGTGGCTGCTGTCTCACTGATGTTTTTCATACACAAATAAACATGAAATAGGTATTTCTGTTCAGTGAAAGTTACCATCACTGTATGGGAATGGTTTGTTTTCATTAATTCCTGGGGACCAGCATTAGAAGCTTTAAATATCAGCTGGTGGAATTTAGAAGTACCACAGTCCAGGTGAGTTACACTCAAAAGGATTTTGATGGTGGCATGCCTATGAAGAGCAGATTTTTGGGATATGGCATGCAAATGAACTTATTTTCTTTTAAAAAATTTTTCAGAGAACATTTATTTTGCAACTAACATAATTTGGTTTTATTCTTTAAGACTTTCAAGTTTCCCTGTTTTGTCTTCACATGAGACAGATGTGGTAGTGTGGGTGGACTATGAGCCAATAGCATGATGGAGTGAACAAACTGTAGCTATTGGTAGTGTTAGGGATACCAGGGATACCTCCTCTGGGGATCTGTAGCATAAGAGATTTCTTGCAGGACTGTCTTGGTTGTTCTTGCAGATACAGAGTTTTAGATGATTAAGCATGCCAGGTTGCACTCTGCAGCTGTTTGGATGCTGTGGAGTTTCCCTCTCTCTGTTTTTCTATGAAGAATGGCTGCTTTTGAATTTAGACCATGAAAGGAGCTTAAAAATGTGTCTATAATATCCTTGCATTCAGGCTGTTCACTGACTGTATCTAAATGTCAATATTGATACTTTGTGTATTACCTGCATAATTGTAGCCTAGGTAGATTTTTTTACTTGAAGCCTGTAAATGTAAGTTCTGCATATTTCACTGGGGGAGGAATTATAAGAGGAAAAAAAAATTAAGTCTCTGCTGTGCGGACCTTTGTGTAAAAGAGCAGCTCTGATAAAGACTGCTGGAACACAGGCCAAATTGAACTGTGGTCAGTGAACACCTTATCTTAGTTTAGATGTCATTAATGATTGGAGATGGGTGAAATTTTTCAGAAGGGTAAGAGAAATGAAGCTTAGTAAATACTGAAAAGTTGTTAATGTTTATAAGAAATAAATGAGGAAGAAAAAATACAGTAGCTTAGTTTTTACCTATGAAATGACAGAAAAAAATAATCTGTTATTGCCTTTTAGAATTTATAAAAAATTCCTGCTGATGTAGAACATACGAGTGAGGCTCTGTGACTATTGTTTAAACAGTTCTGTGGGATAATCTTGGTTCATGCTGTCTTTCTGTCCTTCAGAATGTATACAAACAAGACTATAACAGTTGGTTCAAGGGTATTGGATGGAGTCCTCTTGGCTCTCTGGATGTAGAAAAAGCTAAAAAGGCTGGAGATGCATTAAATGAGAAGAGGTACCGTCAGCACCCAGACACCATCAAATTTACAAGTGTGCCAGACTCAATGACAATGGTTTTAGCTCAGCACAACACCAAGCAACTGAGTGATGTAAGTAATTGTTTGTTACTGATGCAGTATGGAGGTTTTATTTCTTACCATGCGTTTATGATTTTTCTGTTACTATCTGATGTTCCACCTTAGAAACTGTAGAGTTTAAAAAATGTACAAATAGTAAAGTCGTAATTTGTTGGTAGGAATTAAGGATAGTTGTTTTGTCTCTTTGTTAATACTAATATTACCTGCTGTGTTCTTATTAACAGTTTGTTTTGCTGTGCAGGTAGCATATAAGCAAGAGGGTGAAAAAGTAAAGCACAAATACAAGCTTGATCCTGATGTTCCTCAGTTTATTCAAGCAAGGGTCAATGCCTTCAATTTGAGTGATGTGAGTATGCAACCAATAGTGCATTCAATAATACATTCATCATTTCTTAATAGAAAAATGACTTTTTATATCTATGATATTGAATACAGAAGTGTGCAAGCTCTCTGTTCAGGTGAACCGTTATTTCTAGAAGTCAATGGGTTTGACACCTGTTAAGCAAATTTTTAATTGTGTCTTTGAGCACTGCTGAACATGAAGACATTTCAGTGATCTGTTGCCAGACTAGTGGGAGAGCATGAATGAGGATAAGATCATGACTTTTATTATTCAAGTGCATATGGGTTTGAAAGCTAACGTTCCTCATTGTTGTACAAAATGTATTGGAGAGGAAAGCAGCACAGCTTCTCTGTGTGTTTTGCCTCCTGCTGCTGAGCTTTCAAAGGAAATGTAAGAAATGTCAAAAAGTAATGCTTTCTTCTTGTTGTTCAGCTATCAGTCTGACTGCTTTCTGCTCCTTTTTTGCATCTGTCCAAGAATGTAAGGATCTCCACTGATAGTTTTATTACCATTCTGATGGTAATTTTTTTGGTGGCATTATCAAGCCTCCAGGAGTTAAAATCAGAAATAGATATATCCTTTTATTCCATCCTTTGAAAAGCCATAGAATACTGTTAGTCTGTCCAGATTCTAACCACTAATTAGAAATCAGCCAGGCTGCTTCCTTCGAACCAGAGGTCTTGATTTTGAAGCTCATAGGAAAAAAAAGGCATGAAGGTTCAGTGAAGTGAAAAAGGATTTTTGTTACGAAGGGCGAAAATTCTGCTGATGGAGTCGTTCTGTATAGAAACTGAAGAAAGTGGAGTTAAAGATTTAGTTTACATGAATTAAACTGATTGTCTTGAACTATGGTTGTAATAAATTTGTCGTAATACAGCTGTAGGTTGTGTAGAGGTTAGCATTTTTCCTTGCAATTGCACAGACTGTTTTCATCACCATAAAAACAATAAAAATTAAGACTTAGAAGTGTTAATATTTCTTATTGTGACATTGCTGACTTACCTATTTTTTCCCATCAGGCTAACTACAAAGCAGACTGGAAAAAAACCATTGCCAAAGGATATGATCTGAAACCAGATGCCATTCCTATTATTGCTGCTAAGGCATCTCGAAATATTGCAAGTGATGTAAGTATATTTTGCATAAGAGGAATGCAAAGGTCTATTGCCTTCTTTCTGGAGCATATCATGCAACTGTGTGTAATGCTGTGTATGTGTAATGATATATAAATACTTGACACTGACTGTTGAAATTCTTATGGTATGGAAAATTCAGATGTTCATGTGACCTCGAGAAAGAAAAGGTATTTCTTTTGGAATTATGTTTTAATGCGACTCTGGTGAGGTGGGGCTGTGTTATATATGCTTAGATTATCCACCAGCTTCTGTGATAGTTTCTGTATGACAACTTATCTAAGCTGTGTTCTTAGCTGCCAAAGGCCTGTACGTTTGAAGACCTGTACATCTACTTGTCTGACATTCATGAATTGTACAGATATGTGGCTCTTCTCAAGCAGCTACTATCATTTGGCAACATTAAAGTTTGGTGTGCCATCTGAAGCAAGCTACGAAAGGAGATGTGAAATGCAGGAATAAATTTACTAACTTTTGTAAAAGGCTGGAAATGAATTCTGTTAGAATTTCAATGTATTAAAGTTATCAATTGTGTGTTTTGTATTTCCAAAGTAGATAAAGATTTCTTTTGCTTTGTCTCTAGTACAAGTACAAGGAGTCATACGAGAAAGATAAAGGCAAACAGGTTGGATTCCGTAGCCTGCAGGATGATCCCAAACTTGTTCATTACATGCGCGTGGCCAAAATCCAATCAGAGCGTGAATACAAGAAGGATTATGAAGTGACCAAGACCAAATATCATACTCCCTTGGATATGTTCAGTGTGACGGCTGCCAAGAAGGCTCAGGAAGCTGTTACAAACGCAGGCTATAAACAGCCCATTCACCATTATACTCTCTTGCCTGATTCTGTGAATCTGGAGCTATCAAGAAACATGATGCAGCTTCAGAGTGATGTATGTAATGGTTAAGCAGCTCATTTTTTTCTGTGCAGTATTACTGTGTCACAGTGTTAACCTTTTAAGTCTAAAAAATGAACTACATCAGATTAAGGGTAGATTGAGATCTGGTCTTGAGCTGGATATTTTTCAGAGGTTGTTGTATGTGCAGCTGATAAGTTCTAGGGAACTTACTTAGATAACTTTCTTTGTGTCTCCATGTATTTGACTGCTTAGCAAATTAATGTCCTGTGACAGATCCTTTGTATTCTTTTTCACAGATACAAATCTGTTCAACTCCTTCATATTTCTAACATTGCAGTTCAGGAATTTGTTTCACTTTTTTCATACCTTTATCTGCTATAAAAGCCATTTTATAAAGTATGTTTAAATAGAAATGGTGTCTCTTCAGGATTGTATAGAACCAGGCCACCAAGCAGAAGCTTTAGAAAAAGATTCACAGTGAATTAATTCCACTCTGAACTGAGCTGGTTAACCAAGTGTCATTAAAATAACTGAGTTTTTTTTTTTGTCAGGTTTCCATGTTTACTGCTCAAAGTTTGTTTTAAAGGCTGTGCATTTGTTATGTAGTGTGAATTCTAAATATAACCCAATAAGTTGGGTTAGTGAAAATAGTTTCTTTATCCCTAATGATTTTTAGTGTTTTGCTGAGCAGTTGGAAAACATCAGTGGTTTTGGCAAGCTTGTATAAATTGTACTTAAAAATGAATGGCCAGGAGGAGGTTTAAGGCCTCATCTGTTTGTGTTTGTTTGTTTATTTTCTATATGTATGGGCGTTTTTATTTCCCTTATCTCACTGTTTTGCCTTGTTTATTTCTTAAAAGAACGTGTATAAAGCAGACTTTAATAACTGGCTGAGAGGAGTTGGCTGGTTGCCAATTCAATCCTTGGATGTAGAAAAGGCCAAAAAAGCTTCAGATATTCTCAGTGAAAAGAAATATCGCCAGCACCCTGACAAGCTGAAGTACTCTATTCCACTGGATGCAATGGAACAAGTGCTAGCTAAACAAAATGCCAAGACTATGAATAAGGTGAGAACTTGTTCAGATGATCACAGCTAAGCCATGGATCTTCATCCTGCAAAATGTGTAATAGTTGCATTCCCAAGGAGCTCATAAGAATTTCCAGGGGGTATACTGGTATAGTTAGTTAACATTGGACACTAAGAGTTAATAGAGGCCTCAGACTCTAAGCATAATTAAGAAAGTTTCATTTCAAGTTTATAAAAAATAAAGATTTCACTTCTATGCCTATGATAAAAAAATGTCCCGTGCAGATTTTTAGTGCTTTGGTAATCTTTGCTCTTTTTCTACAGAAAGTAGTGTTAATAGTGAGCTGAATCAAATCCTGTACAATTCTGTCTGCTTTTGCAAGCATCAGTAAGAAACTGGGAATTATTTAAGTTTGTCTCTAGTTATCTCAAACACCACTGGAACTTATTCTTTGTTTGCTATGGAATGAGAGTGCATGGAAAAAGAATCACCTGTGCTTTGCATTTAAGGATATGCATGAAGAAGGGAAGGCTGCAGACTTAATTTTCAATTTCAATATTTAGTAGTTATCAAAAGATACTTTTTGAGTTTCTCAAATGAAATACTAAAGGAAGATGAGGAATATAATGTTGGCATCCTGCAGTTATATTTGTTATTTTTAGTGCTTATGCAACTTTGTAGTTTAAAATATTATTCACTGCACATAAGCAAAACAGAAGCAAGCTTGCATTTTGTAAGTGTAACTCCTTTTCAGTGCTATAACTTTGTAATTGCAGAGGCTCTACACTGATAAATGGAACAAAGAGAAGACCAGCATTCATGTTATGCCAGATACTCCAGAAATTCTGCAGTCTAGAGTGAACCAGATCACAATGAGTAATGTAAGTTGCTGTGTTCAGTGAGGACATTCAATGTCTGTTGCATAGGTCAAAAATTGGTGTAATTCTTAGGGTTTTTTTGAAAATATTTAAGAGCACTTCAGTACTTCTGCCTTTGTAATAGAGTACCTGTTCTCTTTTCTATTTTAAATTAGAAACTATACAAAGCTGGATGGGAGGAAGACAAGAAGAAAGGTTATGACATGCGTCCAGATGCTATTCCAATAAAAGCAGCCAAAACTTCCCAGGACATTGCAAGTGATGTAAGTTTGTTTGTCAGCAGCATTCAGAATCTTTTCAGAACCAGTCAGAACTTTGCTCTGTTATACCCCAATGTGGTTTCAGTTACATGTTTGCTGTGATAAGCCTTTGCAGTACTTGCTCTCAGGCTTGCTTCAGGAGTAACTCTGAATTGTGCCCTTTTGTTCATTGTAAAACTCATATAGTTACTGGGCTATTTTGTGATACTGAATATGTGTAAACAACTAAGCCTGAGATCTCGTAATGAAACAGAACAAATTTTTCTTTTTTTTCTGAGATAAAATTGAGCCTAATAATGTACTTTTTTTTTTTTTCTTCTGCCATTGTTTCTCTTTCCTGCTGTCAGTATAAATACAAACTAGCCTATGAAAAAGCAAAAGGAAAGCATATTGGGTTCCGCAGCCTTGAAGACGACCCCAAGCTGGTGCACTTCATGCAGGTGGCTAAGATGCAATCTGATCGTGAATACAAGAAAGATTATGAGAAGGCAAAGACTAACTTCCATACTCCAGTTGACATGCTCAGCGTTGTGGCAGCCAAGAAAGCACAGGAAGTGGCTACAAATGCAAACTACAAAAACTTGATCCATATCTACAATGTTTTACCTGATGCTATGAGTCTTGAATTAGCCAAAAACATGATGCAGATACAAAGTAATGTAAGTGAGAGACTCTTCAGCCTTTGCTTTACCAGTACAATTATGCTTAGTTTATGAGAGAATGCTTTAAGATAAATAGAAAATTTTTCTGAGTGAAAATAGTTCAATTAAATGCTAAAATGTTGTAAATAAAATGAGACTTCCAACAATGATAGCCATGGTATATTTTGAAGACTCTGAAATACTGAATTACATTTATCATTAAAAGAGTTCAGGCTCAGAAATAATAATGTTTATAGAGTGAAATGGATGCATACTGCTTATACGTTCTGTCAGACTCTTCAGCAGCTGTCCTTTTCTACAAGCCAAGGCAACAAGAAGCTTCACTTTCCATCAAGTTTTTTCTTATACTTCCAAAAAGAATAAGAAAAACAGCTCTGTAGCTGAGTTCTCAGAGTTTCTGGGCTATTTAGACCCTAGAGAAGATACATATATTTAGTATTATATATATTTATTTTATTATTTTACTATAAATGCACTTTACTCCTAAATAGACACTGGATGCATCTTGATACTGTTTGATTCTTCTTAAAATAAGTGCACTGAAAATCCATTATACATTAATTACAGGAAGATGTATCAAAATTTTCAGGCATACGTGTGCATCTAATTACTTTCTTTTCCTTCTGCTTCCAGAATCAATACAGAGCAGATTATGATGAAAGTATGAAGGGTGTTGGATGGATGCCTCTGGGCTCTCTGGAGGCTGAGAAGAACAAGAAAGCCATGGAAATTCTTAGTGAAAAGAAATACCGTCAGCATCCAGACAAGTTGAAGTATTCTGTTCCTCTGGATTCCATGAATATGGCCTTAGCTTTACATAATGCTAAAATCATGGATGAGGTAAGGCAATATTCATCACAACTTATTTAAGTTTTCAGAAATGAGGTATCAGTTTTACCTGATGTGGTCTTTTGGGTTAATAACTTCTATATTTGTCAGTTTGGGTAGCTAATGAAAACGCTTGGCTGTCACTGGATTTCATCTTAATAGAGCCATACTGCATCTTAACTTACTTTACTGTATCTTTATATCACTGACCTATCGTTGAGATTCAGTTTAAAGCCCAGCATAATCCTGATAATTTCTTCATAAGATCTGCTCAACATCACAGATTGTAGACTTCTAATAGTTTAAGTTTATGGGCTGAAAATATTGTGAGTCCCATTAAAACTTTTAAACATATAGTCTGTATAATCTGATGCCTATTACATCAATGTGGAATTGCTGGATAACAATAATGCTCTTATATATTGAGATATTGATTTTTCTAATTCTTCTGCTGAACTGACAGAATCCACTGCTGTCCTCTAGAAGTGTCTCGTGTTCATGTGCACTGTGTTTGGAGAGGTCACCTAGATTTTAGGTGCCTTTTCTTTAATTTTTACTTCCTCTAAGAAAAGGAAGATTTCTCCCTCAACTGATGCTTGTTTTATATGAGATAGGCTGTAAGCCACCTTGCTTGGAAGATTATTAGCTTATTCTTTTAACACTTCTTTTTGTACCTTCTGACTTGGTTTTGATAGCTATTGTTGTCTGTTGAATGTGCTTGAACACAGTGCTGGACAAAAGACAAGCAATAAAATATTGTAGCAAGATTGGTATTTCTTCAACTTTTATTGCAGACTTGGACAGTTATCTTTGTAAGAGCTATTCCTGATTTAAAAAAAGATGGTCTTAACATGCTAATGCTACAGTTACATTACTGTAAAGAAAGATGATACTTAAAAAATAGTTACAGTTAAAATTTTTTGGTAAACTGACGTGATTTTTGCTTTTTCCTCCTAGCACCAATACAAACAAGCATGGGAAGAGGACAAGAAGAAGGTTCACATGACACCAGATATTCCACAGTTTACTTTAGCAAAAGCTAACGCGTTTAATATAAGTGATGTGAGTACTGTTTGTAAAAAGTTGCTCCTTTTTTTTTTTAATTAGAGATAATAACAGCTTAGGAAAGTTTCTGTAATACTCACTTTGTTAGCCTGTGTTGGTTCCACAGAATGCTATTTTCCTTTTCCCACTGTCCTTCCCTGAAATTAAATACCAAAAGTTGTCAAGAAAAAGCAATAATATATATGGACAGGTTACGTAGCATTCATGTGGGTCATTAAAATCTAATAATTATCAACAAAATAATACAGTTTGAGCACCATTCGTGTTGTTTCTGTATTTATTATTTTATTTTCTAATACACAGTGGTTTTTAGTGGATTCAGAATTCTTTCTGGAAGTTGAACTTATTCTTTATGTAACATTATAGACCATTTCTCAGTAGCTGTGAAATCTGCATATGCTAAATAAAAGTTGTAATTGTACACATCTTTATTTGCATGTGAATGAATAATCTCATTTTTAGATGTAAATTTTCACCAGGTTTGTTTTTTTGTGCATATGTAAAAGAAATGCAGGTATTTGCTCTTTTGTTTTAGGTATTTTTACTGGTTATAGTGCAGTTCAGCTGATTGATTTGTAAATTTAAGGAGTGAAGTTAATTTTGAAGGTGACTCCATGTTTTTGTGTTCCTGAATGGCTTGAACAACTTTTCAAATAATATTAAATGTATGAATAGTCTGTGTCTACAGCTGACATATAAAATATATACAGTATGACTTCTTTTTAAGTACATGTTGTGTATTCTGCATTTTTAAAGGATGTCTCTTCTTTCCTTTCACAGAAAATGTATAGACATTCTTTTGAAGAAGCCAGAAAGAAAGGGTATGATCTCAGATCTGATGCTATCCCTATTAAGGCTGCCAAAGCTTCCAGGGACATTGCTAGTGATGTAAGTTCTGGAAAAAACAACAATCAATTTCATTTTCTTGGCCAATTCTATGAAGTCTGTTTATTCTATTGTTTGTAAATAATTCTGATGTATTCTAATGCATTTTCTAGCATGGTTGAAGTACAAATTCTCCATTAGAAGGGTAAGGAGATGCATGGAAGACTCTCAGGAGAAAGATATAGACACATTACTCTTGCAAGAATTAGAAGAGAACAAATATGGCCTTGAATTACTCTTGCTTCTGGCATGTTCTTTTAGTGATAGCCTTATTAAATTTCATGTTTAAATTAAATGCAGAGAATACAAGTTTCTGGAATTCTGACCATTCTGAAATCCTTTGTGTATCACTGACAAGGGTTTTCCTGTGGTGAAGCCAGCCTGGGAGAGCAGTGAAATTAGGGCCTAAGGACACGTTATTTTTTTTTTTTAGCCCTCTTATCTTTCTTGATGACCTATGAGATAGAGCAGCCACTGAAAAATCAATTTGCTCTACCACTGCTCTAAGTGTGAGGGCAGTCTAGTTCCTCAGTTCTCACCAGGTAGTAAGCAGTTAAGGAAAATGGAACTGATGTTTGGTCTGTGAAGTCCATGGTCCAGAGCTGGTTAGAGACTGAGGAAGGATTTAAGAAATTGATCCAGTGATTTTATTAATTAAACAAATGCAAAAAGATCTGGTGTATCTTGAATTCATGATTCATTTGAGCAAATTAACTTCATGGAAGTGCTATACAGATCTGTTGGTTTATGTCCAGTCTTTAGATACAAATTCAGGTTTTCTAATTGTGGCTCAGACTATCACTAAGATTGTTACTCAAGCTGAACAGTGGAAGTAGTACAAACATAATGACAGAGAGCAGTGTGGGTTGATGCATCCTGCTTCTAGTGCTTGTGATAGTTCATCTTAGAGCTAGTAAGGTTATCTCTGAGCTCTAGTGTAGAAAGAATAAGTAGATGTTTTCCAAAGGACTATCTTCAAATCAGATCTAATGTGTTGGTTTGGATTTTTGTCTTTCTGCTTGATATTCCCATTGTACCATTTGTAATGAGGTTAGAAAGCAATCACATCCCAAGTTACATTGAACCCCACGCAAAAGCAGAATAAAGTAGCGTACGGAAATTGCATTTCTCAAGAAAATGTTTTATGAATACTGGTTTCGATGGGGCCCTCACAGAATTTTGACACTTGTTAAGCACTGTGACAAGAAGCAGGCAGAACTACCACCTCCATATTCTTAGTGTTTGTTTAATAATGTAAAAATTCTAATTCACTTTTTTTTTTCCTTACAATGTAAATGTTGCTTGTTAAACAAATGAAGTAGAACTAAAATCTCTGTGTCTGTTCTCTGCACAGTATAAATACAAATTAGGTTATGAACAAGACAAGGGAAAGCTTGTAGGCTTCCGCAGCCTTCAGGATGATCCTAAACTTGTCCATTATATGCAAGTGGCTAAGATGCAGTCTGACCGTGAATACAAGAAGGCCTATGAGGCAAGCAAGACTCACTACCAAACACCTTCTGATGCACTCAGTATCATGGCAGCTAAGGAGGCACAAGATCGTGTAACCAATGCAAACTACAAACGACTGATACACCACTATATGCTTCTGCCAGATGCAATGAGTTTTGAATTGTGCAGGAACATGAATCAGATACAAAGTAATGTAAGTTTCTGTTTTCTTTCTCATTATCGTTCACATCTACACCTGTTTTCTTCTTTTCTCGAGTTTTGGAAAGAAGAATAATTTAGTGTGAACCATTTGTAAGTTGTAATCTTTGCTTTTGTTTCCTGGCTGGCAGAATGAATACAAACAGGATTACAATGAATGGTTCAAAGGTATTGGTTGGAGTCCTGTTGGTTCTCTGGATGTGGAGAAATCTAAGAAAGCTACAGAAATTGCAAGTGACCGGAAATACCGACAGCATCCCAGCACATTTTCTTTTACAAAACAGATTGATGCCATGGATATGGTCCTTGCAAAGCACAATGCAGATATAATGAATAAAGTGAGTATTTATGGGGAACATTTGTCAGATGCTCATATATAACTAATAAACTTTGTATAAATCTCTGTCACTACTTTTACATAGCAGTGTTTCCCCAGGGAAAAATGACTATTGCTTAAAGATGGCTCCTTTTTCAAATTTTTTCTTAATTGAAATACTCAGTTACTGCTAAGAAGCATTGATTAAATCAATCTTTTGCTCATTTTTTTCATTGCTACCTCTCCAACATCTATTTTTCTCATACTTACATGGCAATTACTGATGTTAAATCTTGGTGGGTAGGCCTCAATAGAAGCAAGACTGGATCCTGATTTGACTGATTCCGGATTGAGTCATCACATATTAAAATAAATCTAAGTTAACATCTTCTGCTCTTTAGCCATCCATAATCAAAGTGCATAGACAGAAGGGTGAAAACCCTGTAAGACTTGGACTTTGTCACCTGTACTAATAGTCTGATGTTCCTTTTTTTCAATAGCATGCTTATACACAAGCCTGGGAGAAGGATAAAACTCAAGTTCATGTGATGCCAGATACACCAGATATTTTACAGGCAAAACAGAACAAGGCGAACTACAGTCAGGTAGAGCTTTTTGATGCTTTCTTTTACATTTCAAACAAATGTTAAATTAATCTACTTCTGATTTCAAGGTGCCTTTCATTTCAAAGTAAATATCTAAGTAGAAGGTGACGTAAGTATTAATAAGGCCTTTTAATCAAAATTATTTTCAATTTTAGAAACAATACAAGCTCGACTGGGAGGAAATGATTAAGAAGGGCTATGACCTCACACCTGAAGCCATTTCAGTGAAAGCTGCCAAAGCTTCAAGGGACATTGCAAGTGATGTAAGCAACATTTATTTCTGTCTGTAGTGCGCTCTTATGTGGACCCCTCTGTAAAAGAGTGACTTGTAGTTTCCAAAAAAAAAAAAAAAAATTGCTGATAAAAACATTCCTGGTCCATTTCTGTCAGTGAAGACAACATTTTAAGGAGAGTGGTTCTTATATTTTGGCACTTCAAAAAGATTGTGGTCCACCCAGGAAGTGGCTGGTCATAGGAAGTTAGGAGCAATTTGAACTGAATTGTCTCCTCTTTTGAATGTTGTCTTCAGAGCATCAGGAAGTTGGTCCCAGTGCTTCCACTTTGAAATCCTCTTTACAACTCAGAAGTAGATATGGTGACACGTCTTGTTGTTATTTTCCGTAACTTGATATTAATATCAACTCCTGTATTTATGGAGGAGATTTCACCAATCATTGGACACGTGGTCAATGCTTAAGCTGATTGTTTTATTTATCAAAATAGTGCAGTGTGACAGCCTTTGGGCTGTGACCGTATAAATCAGTGGCGCAGGAAACTGCTGTTAGAGCCATGCACTGTTCCTCTCCAGAGGAGTCAGTTTGTTCCCAGGGAAGACATTCACAGGCACCAAATGATGCACATGAATTGAGGGGCTGCTGTCTCATTGGTAATGAGGAGCATTAAACTGAGTGAATATATTTGCCTTATACATTTTATCACTGCCTGATTCTTACTGCAATTTCAATAATGTAATATTTATAATTTTAGTACAAATACAAGGAGGGTTACCGCAAGCAGCAGGGACATCACATTGGATTCCGGAGCTTACAGGATGATCCGAAGATGATGTGGTCTATGCAAGTAGCTAAGATGCAGAGCGAGAGGGAGTATAAGAAAGACTTTGAAAAGTGGAAGACAAAGTTTAACATGCCTGTGGATATGTTAGGCTTCCTTCTGGCTAAGAAATGTCAGGAATTGGTTAGTGATATAGACTATAAACACATGCTACACCGCTGGACTTGTCTACCAGACCAAAATGATGTCACCCAAGCAAAGAGGGTCTACGATCTACAGAGTGATGTAAGTCTTCTCTGAATTTGATTTCTTCATTTTATGTAAAATATTTACTACTTTTTGAAAGGTATCTTTAATAACTTGCTCTTGACTTATTGACTTATTGACTTATTTAATAACTCGCACTGAAGTTCAAATTGAGGGTAATACACCAGTTAGTCTTTTAATATGGTTTAATACACGGGCAGTGAAAGAACATATCCTATGATTGATTGATTGATTCCTTAACAGAATCTGTACAAGTCAGATCTACAGTGGCTCAGGGGCATTGGATGGAGTCCTTTGGGATCTTTGGAGTCTGAAAAGAACAAGAAAGCTTCTGAAATACTGAGTGAAAAGAAGTACCGGCAGCACCCAGATACTATTAAGTTCACAAGTATCCCAGATGCCATGAATATCACTCTAGCAAAATCTAATGCCAAAAACAGAAGTGATGTAAGTTGCTTTAGATCCAGTAAATGAAGAAATACTTTAGTGTATATTTGTTATAAAGATTGCCATACCAGAATGCAATTAAAATATACAGGTATCTAGCATTTGCAATCTGTGCCTTATGTTCAGTTGTGTCTTATTCAGCAGATTTGGGTCTTTAGGACTGTCTAATTTATTCAGCAATAACTGCAAATAGAATCCTTACTGTGTAGTACATCAGTGTATTGACATAATGCTGTCTGCTTGACCTTTCATGCATGTAAAGAAGGGAAAAAGGTATTTCAGTAAGAAGTTGATGTACTGTGTTTTATTTAAATATCTTGCATTTTAAGTCATTCCTGCTTGATCACACATAATTGATGTGTTATTGTAGAGAAAAGTTAAGCTGAGTTCACTGCCATGCATATGAACCAGTTTTATTCGTGTCTCCCTTCAGATACTGTATAGAGAGGCTTGGGACAAGGACAAAACTCAGGTTCACATCATGCCTGATACTCCTGAAATTTTGTTGGCTAAATCAAACTTAATCAACACAAGTGATGTAAGTATGTCTCGATAGCATTTCTTTTATGCAATTTGGATTTACCCTTTGTAGATGTAGTTTAAAATGGCTTGGAGCAGTTTCAACAGTCTAACAATTGTTAGCATATCTGTTAAAATTGTTATGCGTTGGGATACCTGAATAAATTGCTAAATTTTAAGGTGGAAGTGAAAAGAAAGCAAACCAAGAAGGTAAGGCAAGTTTGATGCTTTCTCTTTCATCCTTATGGATTGTATTAACATTATAGATATAAGTTCAGTAGTTTTTAGTAAGACTGTAATTCTTGTTTTGGTAAAAGTCTAATTATATCAAATTATCTTCTTAGAATTATTTAGAATTACTTTACATCAAATTCTTGGTTATAGTTGTTGCCTATCGTAGGCGTGGCGACCTGGTTCGGGAACGGCACGG